GAAAAGACAAACATGAGTCAAACATGAGTGTTTACATTATCAAGTATAACCACACCTACTATGTTTCTCACCACCTAGGAAATCTGTCACGTTTCTAATGTACAAACGATTTGAAAGCAGAAGTCTTGTTTCAAATAAAGGTAAAAATTTATCATAGAGTAACCCTCTCTTATTTTGACAATTTTTTTATATTATTGCAAAAACAGAGAAAAATGACTTAAAAGTGAGATTTTCTAATAATAAGATATCTTGATAAAAAATAAAAGGAAAATGACTAATTTCATAAAGAATAAAAGCTCTGAACTACAGTGCCGAATTCAAGGGGCATCCTATTCCACACTGTAGAAACTAGAAAATGATTAAAACAAGTATATGGCCAATGAAGCCACCTCAGTAATTACAGGTTATTGGCTAACTGAATAGGTTGAATTACAATGAAATTAGAGGATAATTAGTAGTTATATGTTAATGACAAATAAGAAAAGAGTACAGGAGGGGAAAAACCATAAAGGCAAAAAGAAAATATATGCACTTGATTAGTTCATGGTAAATCACAGACACATATATATTTGATAAATTGAACAATTCTACACTCTAACCCAAACTCAACTTCTAGAAGATGACTGAACTGCACATTCGGATAAAAATTTACAATTAGCCACACTTTTCATTTTGTCAATTTTTTGTTTTTGGAAGAAAACAGGAAAAAATGACTTAAAAGTAAGATTTTTAATAATAAGAAATCGAGATAAAAATAATAGAAAAATGGAAGATTTTATTTACAGTAAAATCTTCAAGTGCCCAATCAAAGGGGACCTAATTCCATACTTTCACCCAGATTTGCTTGTTCTGCTCTCTCATCCATAAGGGATTTTTTACATATCAAACAATTTCTTTTGAAATGTTCATTTTGAAGACAACATGCTAAATATTTTACTTTTTCAAAAGAAACAAACATTTGGACAAACATGAATAAAAATTGTTGCCACCCAGCAATTCGAAATGTGAATTTTTCTGCAAATTAAACACGGTACATAAAAGGAAGAAAAAAAAGAGAGCATAAGTAGTAACTGACCTGTAATCAACTGTTGAATTATTAAATTTTATTTCAACTATGCTTTAATTGCAAATGGAGAGTATCAGCATCAGGGCAGATTTTGGCAGATTTTTGGGAAAAAGGAGTTGGAGTCACAAAGTAGCTAAAAACACATTGACTCCAATTTTTGTTGACTAAAACTAAACTAAACTCAGCGGCGCGACAGCCCATAGAGAGCCAAGGCCTAATGTGCCCATCTCAGTTTTCGTGATCTTGGGCTCTGGGGTGCAGGAGCAGATGTACCGGTCAGGTGGTCAGCCGTGGTATTTGAACATCCAGTGTTTAGTTCCCAAGCATGCTTGGTACTCATTTATCGACCCACTGAAGGGATGAAAGGCTGAGTCAACCTTGCCTGGCCCGAGGATCGAACCAGGGACCTGTGGCACGACAGCGCTACCACTCAGCCACCGAGCGTTTTGCTGACAGTTTGAATTAAAAATGACAAAATTAATTATGACAAACTGAGTTATTATTTTCATTTATGGACTATACATAATAAATAGTTAATTAATCTCTATTTTATAGTTATTCTAATAACAGGAAAAAGAAACTAGTAGCGAAATCTTACTGGGTTCAAGATATGCAAATCCAAAACACCAAATTTTGTCACATGACGAACAAATTAAAAAGGCAAAGAAAGACACCTACGAACATTCACAAAGAAGGAAATTATTCTCAGAACAATTGAAGATTTCAAATCAAGGCAGTCAAAACTCTTTTAGACAGCTCTTAGTCAAACTTAGCATTCATGTAAATAATCTGCAATGCCATAAATTTTTTTTTCTGTAGCATATATTACTTCCTTTATATTAAAAAAAAAAAAAAAAAAGCTGTAATGCATGTGTATATGTTTACAGATATATAAGGGAGTTGGGAGTTTCTAAATTTAAAATTCCAGAGTCAGTCATTTGCCTTACTGATTCCACCAATTGATTATGTGTGTGTATATATATATATATATATATATATATATATATATNATAGTGTATATATATATATATATATGTATATATATATATACAGAGAGAGAGAGAGAGAGAGAGATAGATAGATAGAAAGATAACATAAAAGCTTCAACTAAACTTATTAGGTCATTCCCTTTCCGTAAATCCTTTTCTTAAATCCTTTCTCACGCTTTAATATTCACATCCTGTCCTTTTAATCTATTTATAGTTCAAGTAAGCATTAATTAACATTTTAACAATTATCCTTTTAAGTATTTCATGGAAAAAACTTTTTTTCTGGACTTATTTAATAGACCAATTACAGTTACTAAGATTTCCCTTACTCCCTAAAACGAGACATTTTACAGATTTATTTTGCAAGATTTTCCCTAGCTTTTATTGGGAGCACAACAATTTGAGTCACTTTTGTCTCTCTATTATTCTCTCTCTATTAATTATTAAATAAATATTGTGCCCTCTTTCCCTGCCTAATATCTGTTTTAATCCTTCCACTCGGCGACGACGTTACATATGCATAAAACTTGAAATGAAACTCCTGAATGGAACTGAGAAAGGATCCAAACATTAATTTATTAAATAAAAAGAATCATATACTAAAAGCCAAAGCTGTACCAATGTAATAAACATTAGGACACTATTTACAAATTTCATAAATATGGGTTGATATTAGTGTCAATTTATTTTGTTCAATACAAGTATTAAAACGCTTTAAATTTACATACAATATATAACTAATAGTTGAAAATCAAGAAAAAAAGTTTTCTGAATAGAACAAAATATCTGCCATTAAAAAATCATTGCCTGTCACCAAACAGTATTGCTGTCAACAGAAACTCTGAAATACAGCCCAAACTATGTAAGAGAATAATATACACCGAAGAGCCATTACATCATGACCACCCTCCATCGATAACAATAGGCTCGCCCAGGTTTTCCTGGTTTCTCGCCCAGGAACATGAGGCACATTAGGACCCATAATCCTCATAGAACAATCCCTACCGTCTGTAAGCTACTTGAAAATAGTTGCAGACCAGGTTCACCCATTCATGGCAACAGGTTTTCCTGCGGGGGATGGTGTTTACCAACAGGACAATGCACCATGTCATAATTGTCGAATCATCATGGATTGGTGCGAGGAACATACCAGTGACTTTCAAGTCATGTCTTGGCCCCCAAATTCTCCTGACCTTAATCCAATAGAGCATTTGTGGTCCCACTGGGAAAACCAAATTCGTGCTGCCACGCTACCCCCTCGCAATGTGAGGGAATTGCAGGACCAGTTGGTGAGCGCTTGTTACCAGATACCTCAGACTACCTATCAGCACCTTGTGGAATCAATGCCACGGCGGGTACTAGCAGTTTTGTGGGCTAAAGGTGGTCCTACATGTTATTAGCAGGGTGGTTATAATGTAATGGCTCTTCGGTGTATATAGATAAGGTTTTGTTAAATAAATCATAAAAAAAGTAGGTAAATTTAAATGAACATTATTATAATACATTAAAAATAAATACACGGGAAATACAGCACATCATTGAACAAAAAAGGAGGAAACAAATAATTACTTAACACTTGCATTTTCAGAGAAAAATATGCAAAAGAAAAAAAAAAATTAAAAATAGTTTTACTATAAAAATTTCAATTGCCAGAAAGTTGGGAATGGAAACTATTGCATTACTTCTTTAAAGAGAAATATTTATTTGAATACAAATAAATCTTGTTTAAAAGCTGGATATGTTTTTAATATCTGCAAGGAAATGAACAAAATATAAAACAATTAATAAGCTAATTAACAAAAAAGTTCATGGAAAAAAATTCTTTTGTAAAGGGAAAGAATTTTTAAATTTCATTTTGACTTTCTCCGGATACTCTACTTTTAAAATTACAGATAGTTTTATTTCATGCGAGAAAAGAAAAATAAGCAAAGTACAAAAAATATATCATAGCATAGAGGCTAAAAATTAATAATCCTAAGAGCGTTTTGATGTTGAATATTAAAACACAATAATTTTTTAATGGAAATTAAATGAAGCAAATTAATTTTGTTGAAAGACGGCACATTTATAGGGATCAAGGGGCAGACAGGGTGAGCCGCCCTTTTAAAATCGCTTAAGGATAACACTGCAGGAACCCTACATCAAGCCTGAGGCTAAGAGGTAAAATAGAAAAAGCTGGTAATCAAACCTTTCATATATGGGGGAATTAAATCTATTCATTAACAGGGGTCTGTTCAGGCCAAATTTACTACCGTTTAGAGGTACCTTCACAAATTCAACTTTAAGAAAAACAGTAGTTTCACAAAATACTTTTACTTAAAATTTTATTCTTGTATACAAGAAACAATATATCCATATTTTTGTTTTGATTTTTTAATGTAATTTTTATATTTCACAAATTATGTCTAAATTTTCACAAAATAGGTACCGCTCAGAAAAAAAGACAGACCCCTGATAAATATAAATTTTTCAACAGTATTTTTCTTTCTTGAGAAAGAAGTGGTCTTATATATAACGTTATAACTGCTTAAAAAAATCTTTTGGTACTCATGGAAATATCATTTGTTCCGAAAACAAGCTAGAACTAAATGTCTTTCTTACCAATTTTTGTATTTTTCTGCCTCAATATATATAGACTTTCAACCCTGATTTACATGTTAAATCTTTATATTGGTACAACATCCTCTAAATATCTTTTAAACCCGAGTTCCAAGGCATCTCAAGAAACAAAAGCCACCACATTGAAAACGATATATCTGTTAAATAGATATTTCTTAATTTATGGCCCAGCTTTACATAAGTGGCATTTTATTTTTTTAACAAATCAATTTGATATTTAAGTTCATGTAAGATGTTATTCGTGAAATTAATATCAGTTTAAAGACAATAAAATTTTAAAGACATTTTTATTCCATTTTGAAAGGAAAGTTGAAGAGCATACTTACTTTGCTTTATCTTAACATTTTAAACTTTATTTTGAGCAGAAGAAATAAGTTCCTTTCAAAAACAGTTCCATATAACCTCTAATGATAATGTATGAATTATCTGATTCAGAATCATCTGAAATATGATAAGGAATAATTATTTTTCTCACAAACAAATCTAAAAAAATTTAGTCATAACCATTTCAAAATAAATTATATTTGAACTGATATATTACCTTTTAAAAATACTGAAAAAAAGATTTAAAATCATTATATGTGAATCCATTTAAATATTGCTAAGTGAATAAAATCTAGTGATTACATAAATGATGCTAAATTATCGAGTCAAAATTTATTTTGATTATGAATCAATTATGGATATTTTAACATCAGTAGCTACTTTCGCCAACTACAATCGCCCGAGAGTGCGGAATATTTCCCATTGCGCAAACGAAAATCAGGGGGAATTCAGACAACTCCTGGGTAATTTTTAATCCAATTAAAGCAAAAATAGTTAAAAAAAAATTATTGTAAAAAAAAATTTTTTTTTAATAAATTACATAATTACAATTGAATTTGCAGTAAATGAAATCTGATAATTTTAGTATAATATTATGACATGGAAATTAGTACTGGTTTGAATAACCTCTTCTGGGCAGATATTGCAACCGATATTCTCATGTTTTTCTTTAAATCCCGATATTTTTTATATATACATTAATGTTACTCTCAAAACTTGAATTACACATTTGACCATTGACTTTTTAATATGACTTTATATTGCATATGATTTTCAAAATGTCAATATATTTTATATAATGTTATTATGACACAGGAAATTACAATTGCACATTTAAGTGATCACTTTTTGAAGCAATAACTAGATTTGCACTGATCTCATAAAATATCCAGGTGGGGATTTGATTTTTTTCTCAACTGTTATTGCGATTGATTTTTAAAAGCTTTTCTTTTTTTAATTATGGTTCTTTATGCATTATTTATATTAAATCCTTTTATTTTTCCTAAGTTAATATTAAGATATGCAAATTCAAGTAGCACATTCGAGTCAACAATTTTTGATATGACAGTTCAGTTGTTGTCAATAAATTTTTTGGCGGTTGATGCTACAGATATCTTTAAAGTTTTTAAAATCCCCATAATTTTAAGACGATATATTTATAACAATGTGTGAGACTGGAGTCGAGCAATTGAGTAATCACTTTTTGATGTCTCCACTCAACATGATTTTGTTATAAATCTGACTTAGATTTTGATCTTTTTTTCTTTTTTTTTTCAGTATTCTCATATTGCCACAGATTTTACTATTATTTTATTTTACTGCACTATTTACTTCACTATTACTATTATTTTACTGCATAGTAAAATAATAGTACTGCAAGCAGAAGTTTGTACTATTTTTAAAAAACCACTTTTAGAAAGAAAAAAAAACATTTTAAAATGGACCCAGAAAACCAGAAGTTTTTGGTCCTAAGGAGCCACAGTTCACAGAGTCAAGTGGAATCAAGTGGAATCACTGGGGGAAAAAATTATTAGATACAAAGCATTTTTTCCCCCTTTAAATTAATGAATATTATTTTACTGAACAAAAATGACACTCTTTTATTCAATATTTTTTCCATTTAATTTAACAGAAATTTGTATGAGAAAATTTTAGTATTGTAAAAATTATCCATAGAGAAGAAAATTTTTATTCAGAAACAAAACTAGCCAAAAAAATTCTAAAAATGATCAGATAGTTTCTTGCTCAAAAAATTGAATGTCTGCATAACAAAATGTTCAGTTTTACAGAGAATAGACCTGCTATTCACAAAGCTTCAAACCTTCTAAAAAAGTCCTTTTAAAACATTTTTATCATAGAAGGTTTTTATTTTACTAGGATTTTATCAGCATCCCATTTAAAAGTGTATAAAACATCGAATTTCATTGATAACATGCATAAAGGAGAAATTAAAGTTGTTATTTATAAATAATAAATAAGCATTTATTTCAAACTACTTGGGAATATTTCAGAGCTGTCTTCATTAACCAAAATCAATTAGACCAGTTGACTTCTTAACGAATTAAACTACTTGACTTCCTGATTAGTGTTAAATCTTCTGTTAAATTAAAAATTCAGTATTTGGTGAAATAAGGTGTCAGAATGATGGAAAAGTTGACTTATTTTTACATATGCCTTATGCATACCATATAAACTTACTGCTTAAAAAGCAAAACAAATATTTTCCGTTATATTAATTATAACACACATAACTTTTATGTGTCTATTTGTTTACTAATGTGTTTATATTTCTCAAAGTTATGAGTGAGACCTTAAATTTAATATTATAAATTATTTCTATTTCAATTCATTTTGATTTTAATTATTTTCAGCAGGTATGCCAGTTTATTTAAGAGCTGCGTAAAAAAAATGAATATTTTTACTTTGCTAAGGAACTAATTATAACACACGTAACTTTTATGTGTCTATTTGTTTACTAATGTGTTTATATTTCTCAAAGTTATGAGTGAGACCTTAAATATAATATTATAAATTATTTCTATTTCAATTCATTTTTATTTTAATTATTTTCAGCAGGTATGCCAGTTTATTTAAGAGCTGCGTAAAAAAAAATGAATATTTTTCCCCTGTGGCAGTATCGCGGCGACACAGCGACATTGTCGCAGAATGTTGCTGAGTTCTTGCAGAAAGAATTTTCTGTTAGGAAGTAAGGAATTTTGGTTTTCTTTTCTGCAGAAAATTTTTTTTCTCTAAAATTATATTTAAAAGAGGCCTTTTTAGCACATCAGAGAGGAAAGAAATGTTCCTGATTTCTCTATTCTAATTTAAGAATGAAAAATATAGAATAATAAAGAAAGAAATTTCCTTTCTGCAGAAATGTTGAACGATTTTATTCCCTCCAGAAATCATTCTTTTGACACACTTATTCTGCGCCAATATTCTTGTTAATCCACGCTCTATTTTCATATTTTTAAATGAAACAAATCCCGATTCCCAATGTTTTTTATACAATTTAATTATACTTGAAACAGAAATCAATTATTTACTTTTACTGTGACGATTTCACCGTTTTTCAGCTTTTTATTACATGTGCTATGCTACTGAATTCCATGGGATTTTTAAAATTCCTGTTATTTTTTAGTCAATATTATTTCTACACGTAAAATTTAAATTGCGCTATTAAATAATCTCTTTTTGACACTCTCACTTAATGCCAATACTACCACAAATCTATGTAGTGTTTAGATTGTATTTTCGGCAGTTTATTGATATTGATTTTCCCGTGATTTTTAAGTATCCCGATATATTTCTGACAATATGGGGAATTCGAATCGTGCTTATGAATATTTAAAACAATGATTCTATCGTTTTTCTTTTTTGGGGTCATGTATTTCACACAGTCTTTTTAAAATCCTATATTTTAAATACGATAATATTTATTACAACAACCGAATCTCGAAACGAAACAAGCATTTAGTAACACCCCCCTCCCTTGCTTTTAAGAGACCAATCAGCGTGATTTCGCCGTCGATCTTGTTTTCAGCAGTCACTGCTACGGATTACAAGATTTTTAATTTTTTTTGATGAGATGTTTTATGAAATGCGAAAAAGGAAATAATTAGTGTGTTTTCTTCGTACAAAATGGGAGAATCTCGCCATTGTATTAGAATAATATATATGAAAAAAACATTACATATTCATTTAAAAATTAAATACGACTGTTATTTTATTCAAAAAAATTTTTTTTATTGTGAACGCAACGTTTCTGTTACTTCAAATTCAATTAGTAACATGCATACTTGTTATTATTAAAAGCATCTTGCAGAAAGATATTAGTGCTAGAGAGGTTTGTCGCAAAAATCCCAAGAAAATTCTGCCACAGGGATTTTTACTTTGCTAAGGAATTAATTATTATCGAAAATTTTTTAATTATGTGCAAACTTTTCTTATTAAAAACATAGTGAAAGAATTTTTTTTTTCAAAGAAAATGTAAATGAGGAGATTTCACATTTTAAAATAAATGAATTTGGGTTTTAAATACTTTCTGTACCTCAGTAATCACCAAAAAGATTTTCAACTTGCAATAAATGTTTTCAAAAAAGTATGCTGATGTTTCCATGATTTTCCACTTTAGTTGGTCCCTTTTCGGTATTTTTTTCATTGTCTTTATTTCTCAAATTTCAGCCTTTATTTTTCCGTACATAGCAACATCTTTAAAATTTATATTAATAATTTGAAAATAAGTATTTTATTAAAAAAAATTTGCCAGCGCTATTATAAATCAAAAGTATAAATTTTTCATTTTATTATTTCTTTTAAAAAATAAATATATTGTAAAAAATAATTAACAGATAAATATAAAGATAAAATTTTAAAAAATACAACTACAATTTAAATTAGCGTTAGAAAGAAACTTACCCCAAATACGAGAACTTTTGTTAAAAAGAAAAATTTTCATAATACAATCATATGACAGTTTTTAATAAGTATATTTCTCCACAGCATTAAATAAATTATTATCTCAATATATAGGAACATAAACTCATCATTCATCTTAAAAATTTCAAGAGTTAATCAAATACGAAGTTACATTTGAAAATATAAAAAGAAAACACATTTTTTTAAAATTTCGGCCTCCTGCTTCCACAAAGAGCGAACTAATTGAGGAGCACAATATTTTATGTGAACATTTCCCCTAAACTAACATCTATAGCCTGGACGACAAGCAACAAATATTCCAATTATCATCACTGACAATTAACCTTGATGTAGCAAAAGCAAAAAAGTTTTAAATTTTGATTTTCTAAAGATCTTCAGGCAAATTATAAGAAGCAGACTTTCCACTGTAACACTTTTTGAAAACGTTTCATTGATATGAAGAATATTTTAACATCTTTACTCTATTGACTTAAGGCAAGCTTACAGCTTACATCTTTTATATGCATCTATCCTCGCAACCATCTCTAAACTCGCAACCGACAAACGAGCTAGGGATAGAAAAAAATATCACTTTGACGTCAAATTCATGCACCTAGGGAAAATCTGTAAGCTCGCGATTTCAAAGGGATTTACCTAACAGAATGCGGTCTTTCTTTTCCCTCCCAACTATGGAATGTCTTTCACCTAGCAATTAGCTTGTGTAAGAGCTCGACCATTCGAAAAGGATGCGTTTTATGCAGGGATTAAATTAAAATTCTGTTTTCAAAGATAATTTTTGGATATTTATCCAAATATTTTTATGAACATATGTCAAAGACATAATTTTTTCCCTCACACATTTATTTTTCATGTATTAATTCAACAAAATAAATTATTGTTTCATATGATAATTAGATAAAATAAGTTAGTTTCTTGCACAACTTATAGGGAAATAAAACGTGAACATTTTATTGAGCCAAATTTTAGAGTATTTTTGCTCACGTATGTTTAGTATAATTATCACCTGGCTTTTATTAAATTTTATTTTCACTAATTTATAATATTTTCAAATTAGAAAGAAAAAAAGAGATAAAATATCAGTGGGGAAAAAATGCGTCATAGTAAAGTTAAACCACCATTTTATATTTTTTTCTTAAGAAATAAATAAATAAATAGGTGAATTATAAATTAGATTGGCACGTAAAAAATAATTAAGATTATTATAATAACTATATCGAAAATAATATAAATAAAAGATTTTGTAATTTACATGCGTAATTTTTCATCTACTATACAATTTTCTGTAAAGAAATATGAAAGGACGGAAACTTTTTCAACAAAATAATTTTTAAAATTTAAATCAAGTTGCAAATAACTTCAGATGCATAGTTAAGAAACATGTTTTTATTTCCTTTCTTTGTTTTTTCTCTTAATTTTTTGAAAATGCGAAAGTTTTCATTTAGATTTTTCTAGACAAGAAAATATTGTTACTCTTACATCCATGACCCCAAAATATACTCATTATATTGTTTTTAAGAAAAAGTATGAATTATTTATAAATGATTATTAAAATGATCTTTTGTTGGACATTTGAAGGCTTAAAAATACTTGTATTTCGAAAAATGGTGAATGAAAAATTTTTAGGAAGAAAGTTTTGAGGTCCTTTATTAAATATGAGCTGAGTTATTATAATGACATTCAATTCTTTTCATTTGTTATTATTAGACTAATATCGTTTCAGCTTTCTCTGAATTACATTTTCGAAATTCATAATGAATTAATGCGTTTAATTTTAATCCAGAATGGCTTTAACGAATTTATGCGAATGTGAAAACAAGAAATTCCTTCGAATGACTTCTGCATAATTTATTTTTGTGCACGATGGTAAATCATAAGACAAAAAAATATCCGGTGACAAATGAAAATCAATTGTGATTATTTTGTAATTGAAAATTTATTTAATTAAAACTAGAAAAATAATTGCATCGTGTTAAACTACTAACGTTAATTTGTAATAAGGATAAATCATGAGAGACCCTTATGACTAGACCAATAGTAATGAAATTGTATGACTAAATATTCTAACTTCGAATATTTAAATGACAAATAAAGTACTTAGTACCCTTCTCTTCTGAATTGGGTACAATATAAGAGGGCAATCGAAAGGAAGGAATAGGAAAAAACGGAATCTTTCTTCGATCTAATCATTTTTGAAATTATAATAAAGTTGAGTTGGATGTATAAATGTTAGTAATATAATTTAGTAAATGTATAACGTTAGATACTTAATTAAGAAAAGATAAACAGAATAAATTCTGTTAATCTTTATAAAATATGAAAATTTTCATTTAAATATTCCAAGAGGAAAAAATATTTTACTCTTATATCTATATATTCAAAAAAATGAATTTTTTTAATGAAAATTTGTATTATTTTAGAATTGAAATTTCATAAGACAAACATGGAAAAAGTTCTAAAATCGTATTTTTTTTAAAACCAATTTTGTTGTCAATTGTATTAAAATAACACACGGAAATGTTTTTTTTTCTTAAAAAAAAAACTTTTGTTTTACGAGTGTTTAAATGCAGAATATTATGTATATCAAAACTGCAAAAAAATGAAATTAGGTTTGATGGTTCTGCACTTTATATTAGTTAACAATTAAAAAAAAAAAAAAAACATATTTTTGTAATATATGGGTGTCCTGAAATTCGCGATAGCAGCGAACTATAGGAGGCGTTTTTGTGTAAGGCGAATACCTGCGATTTCTATATGAACAGTAATTTAAATACTCTGGAGACGTCTCCAATGTAGCGTGTAGCATTGTAACGTTCCTTCTTTATTGCAGCTTATTAAATTTAAAAAAAAAGGTTTGATATTCTTTCTTACGCAAACGAAAACAAAATGGTATCTCTTGTTTTTAGAGAAGGAACATCCAAAACACAACGGAAATTTTTTTTTAAATAAACAGAAAAAAATACGTATCTTCTTATTAGAGTTAAAACCTAATGCATGAGAAATAGCTTTACTAAATTTATTGATATAACATGAAAGGCCTATTTAAACTTTACATTCCATAGTTTTAAGAATCATATTACTTCAAACATTAAAATAAGCAAAAAGTATGCATAAGTCTCATAATTTTATGTAATTAAATTTTGCAAAAAAAGTTTATTCACAACAATTTTAATCAAAAAATCTTAAGTTTTATTAAAATCATTGTTTAGAAACTAAAAAACGTAAACTAAAGCATGCTTACNAGAATGCTTACGATACAAAGCACAAAAAAAAAAAAAACAATTCTAAAAATTCCTTACATTAAAATAAACAACTTTCATGCTTTTTTTTATTCATAATCGGACGTAGGAAACCATTCTATAGAAAACTATCATCAAATAAGAAAAAAAAAATTATAAGTCAAAATTTTTATTTTATAAATTATAACACTTACCTGCTTTATAAATCCGGAGAGTTCCAAAATGATATGTTCTTCGATTTTTGACACCATTTTTTAGAGCTACGAAAATGCGTCTTTTGGATTTGCCAAAAATAGAACGAGATGCAATTTTATTTTTTCAGGAGCGAAATATTTTACCAAAAAAAGAAACGAAAATTTACCAATTCTCATGACATGAAACTTTATTATGGAAAACGTACGTTTTGGAAACGTAGTTTCATTTGTAATCTTATTTATTAGAGTTCATATGGCGTCCATAAACGTCCACTGAATTCCGATGAATTAATTTGATTTTAAATAAAGTGTTTTATTTTATGATTTGTCGCAAAAATTTTAGGTGTAGATTGGTGGCACTTAAAAACCGCCAAATCTGTAGCTGCGGTGGCGTTAATACGTAAGTACCGAATTTTTATTTCATACTTTTCTGAATTATATTATTTCAAACATTAGAATATGCAAGAGATATACATAAACACATAATGTCATACCATTTCATTTTTCAAAAATATTATTTTTACAACAATTCTTATCAAAAAATTCGAAACTAAAAAACGTGAAATAAAGAATTCTTAGGATAAAAAAACGATTTTAAAAATTCCTTATAAAAAACTTTCATATTAATTGTTTCGTTTTTTTTATTGTAATAGTTCTTAATCTGCCGTAAAAACCATTCTGTAGAGAACTATCATCAAATAAGAAGATTGTTGTTGTTGTTAATTTACGTCGCACAAGAGCTGCACAATGGGCTATTGGCGATGGTCTGGGAAACATCCCGGAGGATGATCCGAAGACAAGCATCACAATTTTGATTCTCTTCGGAGGGGATGGCACCCCCGCTTCGGTAGCCCAACGATCTGCACACGAAGCCGAGGAGCTCTTTACGAAAGAACAGTTTAACGAGGACCAGTACCGCACACCCTCGGTCCCTACACAGACTGATCCAAGTGGTCACCCACCCGCACACTGACCGTATCCAGTGATGCTTGACTTCGGTGATCTGCTGGGAACCGTGTCTTAACGATCAGTCCACTGCGGGACCAAATAAGAAGAAAAAAAAAATTATTTACGAGCAAATTTTTTATTATAAAAATCATAACACCTACCTGATTTATAAATCCGGAGAATTCCGAAATGATTTGTTCTTTGTTTGAAAACTTTATTCTCAAATAATATATACATAGTTTATCTCTTCATTACTTTTAGATAACGTACCACACAGCAAATTTTTATAATTGTAAGATCTCGATATGAGTTTTTATATGTAGCTTAAAAACAGAATAGCTGAATTCTAGTTGAAATTATTCTTTCATAACTAAAAAATACTTACCAAGAAAACCATAAAAATTTATTAATAATCAGCACAAATGATACTATTTCAAGCAATTCGAGAAATTCTTTATTGTTGTTTTCTGAATTATATAGATACAGAAATACATAGGTACTATTCTATGAAGAAAAAGAATATTATAGAACTATTACAGTTCTGTACGTTCGGAATTCATATTTACTTATTGGAATGAAGAAAGCAATGTTGATTTCTCTTTGATTTGTAATGAATTGAAGACAGAAAAAATGTATTTTAACGTAATACACACATCTGTAACAGTATGCGATCCCGGAATCGGAAGTTACCAGTAGCAAGCTTGTTGATAATAGAAGCTAAAAATTATTGACGAATTTTTCTTCAAATGTTTGGCGTGTTCTGTTTTTGAAAGATTTACAAATATTCTGGAGAGTTTTTTCAAGTTCATCGGCTTTTTCCTTAGGGAAATTTTGCTTCTTATTTGCTGCCAAGAAAATTGCGTCTGATTCTGCCACTGATTTTGATGGAACTAAAGGAAAAACTTAATAAATTAATGCCTGATATCTTCAGGCTCCTGCTAGAGGGCGTACTCGAGCGTTGCGATAGCGAATTGCAGCATTTTTTGCATGGAGTCGCCCCTCCCAAAATGGAAAGGAAAAGAACAATGTGGTGAGGCTGCTGCCAACAAAAAAAAAAAAACTAAATTTCAACTGCAATTATTCTGGAAAGCTTGCAATGTTTTTTCGTTAAAACTTGTTACTTTCATCTCTCGGTATTTATTTACTCGGTATTTAATGTTTAATTTTGAAGTTTGAGGATTTTTAGTAAGCTTTCCGAAGCAATTAATATACTATCGCTATAATTATTTCAGATATATTAGCAGGGTAAAATGCCTTTACCGGTACCCGTTACTCTTGGAGTTTTTCAAGTAAAAGATATTTATTTTTTATAATTCGTTATAGTTTGCACTTTCAGTATTTTCTTCTGACAGATAATATTCTAGATTCCTAATTTTTCTTATTTATAAGTTATTTTTTGCCTTATTATTTATTTTTTATTTATGTTTCTTCTTAGGCAGTGTATAAATTTTTCTGTTCATTTTGATTGTGATATTAATATTATTCCCATCTGAATGATTCCTTTTTTGATTGATACTATTGATATGAGGTACTTTATTCATGTCTTTCACGTTTGCATATTCACACATTTTATATATATAATCAATTGTGCTGGCCACAGCTTTCAAGTATTCAGTGCAAGTAATTTTATTCAATAATGTTTAGTTTGTGGAGGGTTTTGAGAAAATTTTCATTACAACTCTGCCACTTGTACCAAAAACAAAGGAAACTGCGTTATAAACTTATAATCAGGGATTATTTTGTGACTCAGATGCAAATGTTTTGTCTTTTCTTTTCTAAAAATGAAAATTGTAGCATTTACAGTTGTATGAGGTAATTGTGCACCTGCATGCAGATTACTAGTTTCATCCCATAGTTTTCTCACAAAATTTTTAATAATTCAAAATAGGTTAGTGATCTACTGTGATTATTAAAGTTCTCAATCGTAGCGTTATTCATTTCAATGCAAAATTTTTAATTTCTATTAGGGTGATTTTACAAAAAAAAGAAAAATTTTGAAAATCTGAGAGAGTTTCCAAGTTTCAAAGAAACCTAAAATGATCAGAAGATTTAGTTTTGTAGAAAATCACGAAAAAATACCATTTTTGGCGAAAAAATGGAGGAGAAAATCTTGCAACAAATGTGGAAAACAACCTAATTTAAAATTGGTTGTAAAAATAAGTAGTCAGTGAGATTCAAAATAACTGAGTCTATTATTACTAGCATAAAGTCTAATATTTATATTTTTTTATACAAATCTTCAGTGATGATTAGTTTTTAGAACTGTCAAAAATTTACTCTTTCCTTTATTCAGTAATTTTTATTCAGTATTCCTTGTTCAGTAATTTTACAATTATTAAAATAAGAATATCAATTTGAAAAAAAATTCTCTTTGTTTAGCAAAATATATAAAATTTTTATTAGAATATTATTTGAAAATTGTAACATTTTCAATTACATTTACAGTATCCACTATACAGCAGTTACAGTTACGTTTACAGTATCATTTATAATTGTAGTTCTTCAGTAATGATAAGTTTTTAAAAACTAATCCTTGTGTATAAATTAATTTGATTTCTTAGTCACTAGTAAGGTACATAACCAGAGCTCATTCTAGACAGAAAAAAGGACAGGGTGCAGAAATTTAAAAAAAGGGCATTATTATTCTAAAAAGGCAATAATTTCTTTCTATGGGATTTACACATTCTGTTAAAAAACATTGTCAATTAGTGAAAGAAAAAATAATATTTTTCACTTTACAAAAAAGTAACAAAGCAATCATATTAATTACTAATTTTTATTAATAAATTAAGATATATATCGAGTTAATGAGCTAATTAGCTTAGTAATTTGTTTAAAATGCATTCATATATTAATAAAATAATAAATGTATGTTTTTAAGTGTCTGTAGTTATGATTTAATAATTAAAATGATTAATAATAAATTATGATTTAATGATAGTGGAAGTAACTGCAAACTTTCAAAGACAGGTGCAACAATGGGGTGTGATGGCTATTTTTCCTTTCCCATATAAATCCATGTATTGGCAGCAATGACAAACTAAATAAAAAGAGTTGAAAATAACAAAAGTATAAGAAATTCATTGTAGAGTTTGGGGAAAAAATAAAGAAAGATTGAGGAAAGAAAGGGCAAAAAGGGTATCATCAGAGCACTAATTTACTTCAGGGGCAACAGGGTGGATTCTTTTGACTAAAAGGGCAGCAGGGTGCTGCGCCCTGTTTACCCTGCCTAGAATGAGCTTTGC